GAGTGGCACAGCCCGTCCCGCCCCCAAGGATGTGGTCCAGATCCTCAAATTAGGGGCAGGTGTCTGTCCCTGCTGAGGAGCTGCCCCGAGTGGCCCTGGTGTACCCCTGCCGCAGCTCTTTAATTTTCAGGCACACCTGCTCCTGGGTGCACCTGTGGCCTTTCTGGGTCATGGTGGCAGCTATGCGGCCGTAGACAGCCATGATCCTCCATCTGGTGCGGAGATCATGGACATTGGGGGCCTGCCCCCAAACCTCAATGAGGTCTATGACCTCGTCACTAGTCCAAGAGGGAGCGCGGCGTCTACGACCCCTGGCTGGCTCCTAGGTGCTGGGGGACTGGGCAAGGGACGACTGGCTGGCACTGGCTGCCCGGCTCATGGTGGGGCCACTGGGTCAGGGGCAGAGACTGCTGGTGGGCCTGGATCTGGCACGTGCAGTCTGGCCAGAGTCTACCCCTTTAAGGACTCTGGGGCTGGGGGAGGGGAGAGGAGTTCTCCTGATTTGGCCCCGAGTGGCCACCAGGGGAAACTGGAAAGGGCTGGAGGCCAGCTAATTTGAATTGTCTACACAGCACTTATTTCGAATTAGCTATTTCGAATTTGGCGTTACTCCTTGTAGAATGAGGTTTTTCCAAATTCGAATTAAGCACTCCGCTATTTCGAATTAAATTTGAAATAGCGGTTTGCACGTATAGATGCTATTAAAGTTAATTCGAAATAATAGCTGTTATTTCGAATTAACTTTGCAGTATAGACTCTATGGGAGACCAGGTACTGTGCAGTATGCCTGAAGGATTGGCAGTCAACTAAAGAAAGGAGCTGGGAGATGTAGAGAAACCAGAAGACTGAGAATTGGAGGAGGGGCTGTGTTAAGAACGAAATACAGGGAAGCAACTTGGATAGAAAAAGGATGAACAGAAAATAAAGATACAATATGAGGCTTAGTTGACTACCCATGTAACAAATATTAGCTACTGCTATCTCACAGTTCCATCTTTCAGTGACCATGAATGGCTTCATGCAAAGATTGAATTTACCCTGCTTTGAGAAGTCAATACGTTAACAGTCTTTGCAAAATAAAAATTGTTTCTAATGTGAAATGCAAATGTGATTGAACTATACTGTTATATTTAGACTACAAGAAAGTTGCAAGACACCTTACCAGGATTTTGTATCCAACAATGATCTTACGCCCAAGATCCCGAAAACCTTATAAGGAGAAGAGGAGAAAACGCCTAATGAAGAATTCTAAAAATAAACAGAAAAAATTAACTGCAATGCAGACATCAGTATCCTTGGCCACTAAGAGTGTACATCCGGTCATACCTAAGTCAATAGGTAAATGTGATGGTCAACCTTCCTTTACTATAAAGTGTGTGACTGAGAGAGGTGATGGGCAAAGCAGAATGCAGGCCTAAATTCAGTAATCAATAAACAAGCCGTGGAGGACATTCAGCACAGAAATACATTATTTAAGTATCTGGAGCAGCCTAAAAATGACAAGATCCAGCAACAAACATTTCCCTAAACACACTATAAAAAGAAGCCTAAATACACTTTTTTTCATATCATCGTCCCGAGACCTATCCCAGCTCCAAAACTAATACTTGAAATGTTTAGAGCAGGTTATTTCCTCATGGGAAGAAATGGCAGGGAGGCAAGAACTCATATGCTTTCTTAATCTGCTTATTCACTCTGTGTGTACTCTGTTCCAGTTTACTCTAAACAAAGGTGGTAGAAGCATCAGCAAAGTTTTCCAGGAGCAATTGTATCTTCACAATTCCAAGGAAAAACACAGAGGTTTCTTAGTAGTGATATCCAGGGCCGGATTAAGACCTTTAGAGGCCCTAAGCACTCAAAAAAATTATGGTGTCCCCCCCAATATGTAATTCAAAATAAAGACAATACTATACCATAAAATCTAATATTTTTTGGTGCCCCTGCTTTGCTGGTGCCCTAAGCACGTGCTTAGTCAGCCTATTGGGTAATTCAGCCCTGGTGACAGTATTGGTGGGGCTTAGCCCTATTGACAAGCCATTTCTGTCTTTAACTTTTCCTACACGTGTTGAATTCCAAACCAAAATTAGCACTGGGTTTGGTTTTGTCATTACAAAGTCAATAATGACTGAACTTTAGCCAAACCCAAAAACATAGCTGCCTGAGCCCACTCTATGTTATATTCATGTTGTCTATGGTTATATTTTAAGATCTGATTAGTTTTTCCACTTTGCACGGATAGCCAAAAGAATATTCTGTTAAATAACCTTTCTAGTTCTGTGATCTGCAAAACTAATTGAAATTCATTTATGACTAGAACACCAGAAAAGAAAGAAATGTTACATACTGACAAGGGATTCAAAGACAGTGCGTTTTGATTTAGACGAGGATGGCCATTGTAAAATATCAATTGAGGATTCACAATCCCCTGAAGGTACAATTTCTCTTTCTATATAAAAATAATATATGTTGTCTAACAGGACGATTATATGTATTTCCATGAGCTTGCTTTCACTATATGAACACTCAGCATTAGAAACTTTTAATGCCGCTAGTCTGGTGTTTTCGTAGTTACAAAGCAAAGACAAATACAGGCTTCAAATATGGTATAAAGTTAAATGAAAAGCAGATTATCTTGTTTGCTGGGCGCTAGAATAAAAAACACATTTGCATTCCAGTAGGTGAAAGGGGGTAGAACAATCATTTGGTAAGAGTACAGAGATAAATAAAAGGAGATATAGAAACATCCTTCTCTAATCTCTGAATAAAAAAAGACACCCCAACCAGCCTCCGAAGGATAGTTGCTAGAGGTATTGGGAAAGGAAATGGTAAAGAGAGAAAAAGCAAATAAAAGTGATTGAGTTGAGCACCCACAATGTGGTAAAGAGAGTGGAAGCACTACTTGTGGTATCAAACAAAAAACAGGACTAAGTAGCACTTTAAAGACTAACAAGATGGTTACTAGACTAACATGGCTACATCTCTATTCTTCTTCGAGCAGTGTCCCGTGGGTGCTCTGCTGTAGGTGTTGGGCTTGTCCCGGCGCTGCAGATCGGAGATCTTCTGATGTGCTCACAGGTTAAAAGCAGCAAATATTTAAGACTCCTGTTATTGTACTTTTTTCCCTAAGATAAAACAACCTTTCCCCTAAATACAGTTTTGAGGAGCTAACTATAGAGACAAATGCTGCCCTGCACTTGTATGGACAGAGAAGCCTTACAACCGTGGTCACCAACCAGTAGATCGTGAGCTACCGGTAGATCTCAGGGGCTCTAAGAGTAGCTCTTGAGCCCTCTCTGAACTGCGCACCTGCGCAGTACATTTACATTAGATTTCCTCATTTGAGGAGCAGCTACTCACTGAGCAACAACATAGGTGAGTAGCTGCGAGAAATGGTGGGAGCTGGGAGGTCGGGAGGGCTGAAACACCCCAGCCAGCTGACTGTGGCTTTCACAGCTGGAGCTAGGCGCAGCCTCCCTGGGCTGAGCGCAGGGCAGCCGGGCTGGAGGGAAGAGAAGCAGCTGCCTGGCCAGCTGGCCATGGC